GCTCCGCGCATGCGCAGCGCGCTAGGCGGGGTCTGGGCGCCAACTCCAAAGTCCGGCGGCGGAGCGGGGTGGGACGGGTCGGAGGTGCTCAAGCATGGTCAGCTTCTTAAACGCCATAGCGGCCGTGAGCCAGAACATGGGCATCGGCAAGAACGGGACCCTGCCGTGGCCGCCGCTCCGGTACGGCCCCTCCCCAACCCGTGGGCTACGGGTCTCGACCGGGCCGTGCTGCATGCCGGGAGCTGCAGTCCCCGCCGCGGCCTCCCGTGAGGCCGGCGGGCACCGGGTAGGGTAGGGTAGGGTAGGGTAGGGGCGGGGCGGGCACTGGACACCGCGCGCTGCCGGGGGCCCTCGGGCATCACCCGCCCCTGCGCAGCGCGACCGCCTCTTGCTCTGTTCCAGGAACGAGTTCAAGTACTTCCAGCGGATGACCACTACGCCCTCCGTGCCAGGTACCGCCCGCCCGTCCCTGCCCCCTGCCTGCCTGCACCTGCCTCGCAGGCTTGGAGGGAGGGATGGGCCTGGGGGGAGGGATACGTGTGTCACTGGGTGTGTGCGTGCGTGTGATCCAAGTGTGTACATACAAGCACACATGCATACACACACATACCTATTCACACACATATACAGTGCGTGTGTATATTCAGTGTCATGCACACATACACGCACACATGAAGCTGCCCCAAATTTGGTAGGTTCCTACTTTGCTAGGTTCCGAAGTGCATCATTTGCTTAGCTGCATGTGTGTATGCGTGTGACATTGACACGTGTGTGTGTGTTTGCGTAACACTGAATATATATATATATGCAATATGTATAAGTGTGTGTGTGTGTGTGTGTGTGTGTGTGTATTAGAGATGTACCGATACATTGATCCAATGTCAGACTGGCACTAATATAAAGAAAACTGAGTGTATCAGAAATCAGCCTGATAAATGCCTGTGCACAGCCACGGCACAGGACATGGGTAGTGAGGAGCACAGTCTGCCTGGCAGCTTGGAGAGCTGCATGAAGCTGGTAAGTCTGTTGGGGAAGGGGGACAGCAAATAAGTGGACATTCTGTCCTAGCTATTGAATCTGTAGTGAATCTGCCTGAAATTTTTGTTAAGTTGGCAGAATAGGTAACTCAGTGTAGACTGAAAAGTTGCTTCATTCATTGTCAGTCAGCTTTATTTAATTTATGTGCAACTTGAATTCATGCTTAACTGTCTGCCTCCTTGTCTATGCTTGTACACTATGCTTACACTTCTATTTGACCGAATGCATCTGTAACAGGGACAAATTGGGCCTTATTAGCCCTGTGCAACTATCAGACCCATCAGTGAAGTGTTCAGGTCCTCATCTGACCAGGCAGAGTGAGGATGACAGTAGGGAAAGAAGCCCCTGCAATAGATTGTAAAGCAGAAGAAAGTAAAGGTGGGAGTCAAGGGTGGGCAGAGGAACCATTCTGACATATTAAGAATTACATTGTAAAAGAAAACTGTCCCCAGAAAGCAGCTTGGATATGGCAGAGGCTCCAATAAGCAGCTGCTCCTAGCATTGTGCAGTTGGATTTTTCTAATAAATTAATACATTAAATAACAACAGGAGGTCTAAACTGGGTGGGGAAGGGGTTCTGCTGGGTTTCTGTTAAGTTGAAAATGGCAAAGTTTTTAGTTTTGAAAAAGGGACCTAGTTGGTTTCATGAGACTCCAGAAGACAAATTCCCAGTGGCTTCCTAGGAATGTTTGTTTCCTGCATTCTGGTGGTTCATAGATCATAAATTCATAGTGAAATAATTTATTTTCAAAAGCTGTTGATTTTAAATATTACCAATTGTCTCGTATGTAAAAGAATCATGATTTCACGCTGAAGCTGCCCTCTCAGTGGTGTGGAGCTGGCGCCTGGAGATTTAAGTGAGGGTGGAGTGGGGCATGCCATCTAGGACAGCAAGTGCATATGCTCCCCCTTGGTTCCTTTGGGACCACTACAGCTGGTGTAAAGGAAGCAGGCAGGAGCCATTGTCAGGTTCCCCAGGATCAAGAGAGTAGACAAGTAGCTCCTCTTTCTCCTTATCCCCACTGGTTTCTGTTGCATTAGGCAAGTTATTAAACCTCTGTTACTTATTTCTCTGCCTACTCCTCCATCTGTAAAAGGCAGTTGACGATGCTCCCTTACATGAAGCGTAAATAAATAGATGAGCAGTAAGTTCTGAAATACTGGGATGACAGGTTTTGTGCTACACATTTATCATACATGCATATATTAGAATGCACTCAACATATATTTGAAGATCTAATATGCCTCTAGTTTGGGCTTAATGTTTATGAACGTTTTCTTTACAGACTGTCCTGGAGTTTGGATTTTATAGTACACAAATCTATGGTGTTTGTCTCATGTTGTATATGGAAATACTGAGTGTTTCAGCAGCAACGTAGCTTAAAGCAGCCAACAGCAAGGATTAAAAAGAGAATACCTGAAGAGGGCGATTCTAAACCATATGGGCTGTGAGCTGGATCTGGCCCACAGAGGAACTTTGCCAGGCCTGCTGTAGGTCCCTTGGTCCAGCCTGGCCCAGGTGCCATCTGGTCCATGGCATATCCCACCAGCCCTCGGGCACGTGGTGGGTCTGGAGAAGCTCCACATCTGGACTATCTTTCTAGACAGCCCAGGCAGCAGTAGCAGCTCCTTCTGGCTGCTGCCACCACTGGCCCCAGCCGCCTGGTACTGATGGGGACCCGCATGCACAGCCCTGACTCCAGCCTATCCTGCACCC